TCCACACATCCGCAAGCACAAGAAGAGCAAAGGAGAAATGCAAAACCGAGCAGAGAAGCAACTTTGCGTGCTTTTGTGAGCGGCAACTTTGTTTGCGTCCATTTTGAAAATCAGAAATATGCGAGAGTGCCTGAGTGTGTGTGTGGGTGAGCGTATGTGTTTGGCATACATTAGCATCTCTTGTGTGTGCTGCATACATTTAGGCGCAGAGCAATGCAATGCACAATTGCTTATGAAATTGAGCAAACAAAATTGCGGAATGCTGTAAAATAGCACCTAATGAGCCGAGCTGCACTCAGAGGTTAATGTGGAAAAATACAAAACTCCCTTGCCTTTGATTGTGCACTAAGAAAATTATGTTTATAAACTATATATACTTCCTTTTCTCTGGAACAACAGTATTTATAAATGATTACCTTTAATGGTTTCTATCTTTTTGAAAGTAGTATACAATACACACAAATTAGAATGTTGAACAACCAGCTTACACATTTTTTTACTGTGTGCATTTTAAACCCTTTCTGCCATGGGAAGCGTGAAGTTTTTATGATTTTCTTGAAAAATATTGATGAAGCCATGAATAATAAAAAACAGAGAGCTTACCCCACTCAGCTTTTTGAAAGGAAACAAACTCATTAAAAGGTTGCTGGCCAGTCAACCAGTCAACAACTTTGGGCCACAAAACAAGCCATTAAAAAATGTTTAGCACATCGACTATGGCAGAGACAGCCGCAGAAAAAGCAACAGAAACGACAGCCAACTGCCAAACAAGTTCATGGAGAGAAAAAAATAGAAGCACAAAATTGAAGGCAAATGTTTAGTGGAAGTTTAGCAGAGTGCTGAAAAAGTTGGGGCAAAAGCGAAAAAACACGAGTGTCCCTAGGGCGCATTTGAGGGGTGTTTCGGGCCCACTCTTTCCCTTCCCCTTCCCATTTCCTAACCCCCCCCCCCTAGTACCCCCCCTCCCACTCACCTGTCACCTGTAAAATGCCGCCAACGGCCGAAAGTCCTTCATCCCTGCTTCCACTGTGAATGTGGCCTTTTGTGCCCTGTTCATGTAAATTGAAAACAGTCGCCAAACGGCATTAAGAAAGCGAATGAGGCAATGAACTGGGCCTTGTGGCCTTGTGTGTAAATTAAAAATTAACTGTCGCCAGGGATAAATTGTCAAATTGTATGAACGACATGAATGGCAAAAGCCTGAATTGTTGGTTAAATGAGTTATTTTTTTCACTTGTTCAAATTAAAAAAGGTTACTCATAAAAAGATTCCAACGTTGTCCACATTTAAATTGATTTTTCCTCTTTTTGCTTTTAAGTAATATGAACAGAAATTAAACTTTAAATGCTAATAGTTTTAAAATAACTTAAATTCAACCATTTATACTTAGCAAAGCATTCAGTGAAAACCTAATCTGCTAATAGTAGCAGACTTCAAATGTGGTAACCACCCTACATTTCCTACATTTCCATTCATATAAATTCACATAGATTCACAGTGGGCAGTCGTGCAAATCTGGAAATAAACTTCAAAGCATTTAACATCTGCCCATTGACCAAGAACGCCCCCGACTCGTCGGCGATGTAATCTGCACAATGCCATGGCAGAGTTTTAATTGCTATGACACAGCCAAGACACGGCTCACTGGATAAGGGAAGCGAAGGCATCGGGGATGCGGATGGGGATCGGGATCTGGATCTGGATCGGAGACGTGGAGCCGTCGACCCGTTTGCCGTTGTCGTTTTCTAATTTGATAAAGATAAAAATCATTTTGTAAACGCCCTCGACGATGTCGCCGTCAAGTGTGCATGCCCCCGACAGACGGACACCGAAAACAGGACACTCCCGTTCCAGGACACGCTCTCGCCTGCCGCTTAATTGAATGCTCATTTCAACGAGCGGACTACAGCTCTTCAGCTCTGCAGCGTCGACGGCTTTAATTGCATTTTTATTTCATTTCCGAGCAATTATCGCAAGTTCGTGTGCAAATTCTATAAACCCACCGAGGATAGAAGATGTGCACATGGAAAAAAAGTTGATTTCGTGGCTCGATAGTTGTATATGTCTCAAAATATAAAGGTTTTGTAATTTTGAAAAAATCTACAAAAATTTCAGTGCTTAAGGAAAGCTTATAAAGAACAAATTGTAAGAGTTAATGGGTTCAGGATTTGATATTATTTTAAGTAGTGTATTTTTTTTTATATTTAATTTTTTGTTAATGTTATTGTTTATTTTTTGTAGTGCACAAAACATTGGCTTGAAGCGGCGAGGATGTGGCACCTGCAACATCCCGAAGGCGAGAGGTCAATCGTGTCATGGGTGTATTTGTGCCATGTGCAACTAGTTAGCAGTTAGTGTGAGTGTGTGTGTGTAAGTGTAAGTGTGTGGTTGGATGTCCTGCGAAACCGTAATTAAAGGTAGCCAGGACTTTTAGCCAAGCTCCTTGCCAGTTCCTGCTGATATTTATTGTCGTAGCTGTGCATTCTGCCCTCTCATTGTCAGTGCAACTCCAAGTTGCTGCTGTTGCTGTTGCTGGTGTTGCTGTTGCTGGTGTTGCTGTTGCTGGTGTTGCTGTTGCTGCGAGTTGTTAGCAAAGCAATTAGCATGAGTTTGTTATTGCAACACACGGCCAGCAGTTGGCAAAGGGCGAGTAGAAAGTCGGAGGCGACACGGCGACCATGTCCGGCACCTCCTGAAAGTTTTACACCAAACCCAGGGGCCAAAAGGCTCCCCTCCGAATGCCGGCAAATAAGAATTTAATTTATTTACTCTGCAGTGGGCAAAATGCCGGCAAATGGCCATGTAGCGTTTAACACCCTGCAAACAAATCACAGGTAACTAAAACTTATGAAATAGAAACGTATAGATTGGGGTATAGGAAACTGGGAAGCGGAATTATGCAAATGGAAAAAGAAAATGCACAACTAAAAGAGGTGTACTATTTGTTTATATTGCAATCAGTAAAGTGTCGTTGTGTTTTATAGCGAGTAGTTTTCCTAATCAAAAATCGCTTAGCTAAAACCCTTGCAGGCTCAATTTTTGTTTTTGTAATGCAAAGCTTTCTATAATGGATCGTCTGGCCGTAAAGGTTTACTTTGAAAGGACACTTCACCCCCTTTGATATACTTTCAACCATTTTCCAATCAGTTTTCCTTACACCAATTCCCTTTCAAAGCGAGCCCCACAGTTTTTACAGTCTTGGCTTAGATTTAGTTCAACTTTCGCCACGGCAACCCCAAAGTCAGAGCCATCTCATCACTTACTTCTTTCTTGAGGGTAACCTTCGGCACCTTTTAAGCCGCTTGGCGTGTCCTTCAATGCCTCAAATCTCTCTCGTTCCGCCTCCTTTCTCCCCACGGAATCTGTTGCTTTGTTATCCTGGCCCTCTTCTATTGCATTTTATTCACTCGATGGGGAGTTCCGGCTCCGCTTGGCTGCATTCTCCACTGGGAAGCCGGGGGGTTTGATTTCGGTTTGCTGCTTTCGCCGCCAGCTTCATCGTGGATTATGCAAAAAGTTTTTCATTAATGTTGGATTTAGATATTTTTTCACGCTCTGCAACTGTGCTTCCTCCAGCCCGCCTGCTGAGAGCATTTTTTCCCGAAGCTTTCTCGATTCGGCTTGCCTCTTTTCCCAAATCCGGTTTTTTTTTTCGTCCTGCGTTTTGGTTGTTGACAACGCAACTTTGGTCCCAGGATACGTTAACTTTTGTGCACCGCAGCGCCGAGCTCGGTGCAATGAAAGTTGGCACCACAAAACACAGATACGTTCGGATGGATAGATAGACAGCTAGACAAACACTTAACAACAGAACCCATGAAGATGCCACACAGCAAATTTGCTTTACAAGTGAGCTGGCAAATGAAGGATGAATTAAAAGAGTTCCGTTCTTTTGGGTTGCAAATACTCTGAGGTTTTGAGTCATGGTTAAGTTCAGGAATCCGCAGTGAAAGAGTAAACCAGAATAATACAAATTAAGAAAAAAAACTTATACATTCACAATACAATAAAACACATAAGATTTGTCACACTTTTTTGCCCATTTACTACTCTCATTTAAAGATTGATTTCAAGTGTTTGCTATTTTTAATTAATTGGTCTTATAAAAAAACATATAAAAATTTATAATTTGGCTTATTCTGCTTTTAAATTCGTTAAAGTGCTCCCTTTTTGCCCAGTGCATTTCCACATACAGTTTTTTCCACAACATGCGCTTTTTTTCCATTGCAACATAACTTGGACCTTCTTTCTACCCCTATATATATATTTATTCTTTTTCCGTATCTGGTCGGGCTTTGGCGGTTGTTTCTTTGGAGACACTTTTGCCGCTTTGCAGTGCAAATTGTTGGGTTTGCTGTTGTTTTTTTATAAGTTTTATTCTTATGGAATTTTTTGTGCGGTTTTTATTTTCCTTTGTGGTGTTTTCGATTTGTCTGCCGACGAGGATGAAGGGGGTGCTCTAAAGGACCACCCATCTTCTTCCGCGTTTCAGCATTTATTTGAGTGTGTAAACTTTTGCTACTTGAATTTTTCGGGGATTTTCCTGTGGCAATTTCACAGTTGGCTCTGCCCCATCCTCATACTCCCCTCCATTCTGTACCAACTTTGATAGTTTTGTCAAAAGTTTTTATTGCGATTTGTTGCAGCTGCAAGTCCAAGTCTTGTAAAAGTAATGCTTATCACAAAAAAAAAAAAAAAACAAAGAAAATACAAAAATGCTGGAATTCCCCAATTGATATTTCTGTGTGTGAGATGAAAACGAGGAAACATTGAAGTTTTCAAGGGTTTCTTGAACAGCATGTTGTGGCCTCTCCAAAAAATCTTTGGGGGCTAAGGAGAATAAATAGTCTGCTTCAATTGACAGCCATAAAAGTATTTAAAGTAGTATTTATATATGTGTTAAATATTACTTTATAAATGTTAAGTTTGCTGGAAAATAAACTAATTAGTTGGACGCTTCTTAACATTCATTACTTTGAATTGGATATTTAAAATATTAAACGGATATTACAACCAAATTCTTTTCTTTGTTGATTATCTTATATGTGTGTTTATTATAAATGAGGTAAGTAAGAGAAGAGCGATATCTTAGAATATATAATAGCTATAACGAATGTTTGCCTTCACAGGAAGGGGACTTTCTTCACTTGTTATCACAATTCTCGATGACCACCACATCGCCGTAGTTTGGAGGCGGTGTCTCCGGTCTCGCGGCGCCACTTTCGACCACATCCGTGTAGAATCTGGCCGCAGAAGTTGGCGGTGTGGTTGGTGAGCTCTGCTCCCGATCCCGACTGGTGAAGAGGTTGCTCCGACTGAGTCGCCGGATGAGGGTGGCCGTGTTCTGATTGATGGTGCGGTAGTACTGACTGCGAGCCGGACGTCCGAAAAGGCGGGACACGAAATTGTCCTGCGGTCCGTAGGGTTGGCGTACCACGGCACGCGATGAAGTGCTTCGAGGACGCTGGGGATTGGAGCGCCTGGGTTGGCGGCTCCTCTGCGGCGACCAGGTGTGAATGGTGGGCAGACTCTCCTGGGAAGGATCCAGAGGGGCTAAAAAGGAAACCACACAAGAAATAGCTTAGAAAAAGAAGCGAATAATCCTCCGGGAAAGCAACCTCACCTGAATCTCCATCGACAACCTCTGGGCTGCTCTTCTTTTTCCTCATCTCACAGCAGCTCTTGAGGCACAGGGCAAAGGTGATGATGAAGATGACCATGCAAACGCCCGTGGCTCCGCCCACCACAAAGGCCAACTTAAGGTCATCCTCGTCGTAGGAATGGGTGCGTGAAATACCATCATCCAACTGGGCGTTTCCTCCAGCCAGAAGTTCATGGCTCACCCGCTCCAGGCAGGTGCGATACCTCAGGCAGAGCTTCTCCCGACTTCCCTCGCAAACATCGCTAAGTGATGACATCTTCGCATCCTCCTCCTCCTCGCTGTTTCCCTCCTCACTGGAGTCTAACTCCCGCCAGATGGAGAGAACCGACTGAGGTCCCTGGGTACTTGGTTCCACATGCTCCATTCGCTCGAACTTCATGGTTGCCTCTTCCTGGACTTTCACCTCCTCCTGGACTTCCACCTCCTCAGGAGCAGCTGCCTCCTCCTCCACGCAGTCGCTCATGAAAATGGCCACGCCGCGTTGTCGTAATCCAGTTGCCACTTTGGCCAAAGCTCGATCGCAGTTGAAGGGATTTTCCTCCACATTCAACGAGGCCAAGTATCGCGGCGCATGAAAATCCCCAGGACTTAGGGTCACCAGCATATTCTGAGCCAGATCCAGCTGGCGCAGTTGGGGCAGAGCACTCAATAGCTGGTTTCCCAGTTGATTTACCTGCGAGTTGCGCAGGTTGAGAGAGCGAAGCGAAGGACTCCTCAAAATTGGTCCTTTTCCGAGAGTGGACAACTTGTTGCCCTCCAGATTGAGGTGGATAAGTTGGTTGTTGGACTCCAGGATGTGTTCATCGATCTGCTCCAGGCGATTGTAGGATAGGTCCAAGTAGCGTAGTCTCGCCAACTCGGAAAAGGCATCTCCGTAAATTGTGTGAATGGCATTGTGGGCCAAAGTTAGGTTTAGCAGATGAATTGTAGTCTACGGAAAGTAGTAACATATTCGTTAAATAATAAACAATTAAAATAAATTATATGAATTACTTTCCATTTCTAGAATGCTTACAGTTCTTCGCACGAAAACATTTATCTACTTACCTTGAAGGAGTCATCATCTATTGTGGTTATATCATTATAGCTCAAGTCCAACAGCTCGACGGTTAGGGGCATTTCTATATTGGCGCTTATTAGGCGCTTGGCACTGCACAAAAAAGATTACATTTATAGTAAAATTCAGTAGTGGTTGAATGAAGACTCACCTGCATATCGCTCGGTTTCGCTGGACATGCAGATCACAGTGGCAAACGGTGGGACAGAACATCTGCTCCGGCTTGCTTCTGCAAACTTGAAGAAGGACACAGAGCAGTAGGCCCACGTAGAGCAGGATCTGCTTAAGGCCCAACCACATTTTGGGCTTTATGACGCATTGCAGAGCCATATGCTTTCTACAAATAATATTTTCTTTGACTGGAAGCAATGTCCCCAATTAGTGGTTCGTCATTTTCGAGTTGGTTGGTTTGGGAATGCTTGGTTGTTCTCGACTGACTTGGTGTTCAAAAGCCGTCTCTTCATTCACTTTATGACTAACTGGTGAGCTACCTTCCAGTGGTGGGTTACCTTACTTTAAGTGGGTCTTGTGTGAATTATTGTATACCAAAATGCATCCATTTGTTAATATACCAGGTAAGTGCTCTACACTTCCACTGCAGATAAGATAAGAGTCTTTGTTATTATCTAATCAGCTGATGCCGCTTTGGTAGTGTTTCAGTGAAAGAGAGTACGTGTTTTGGGTTTCACTTGATTGGAAATTATACGCCCAGAAAAACCAGTTGAAATCAGTAGCCGGTTTATTAGTTTCATGTGCGCTTATCTCGAAGCTATTAAACATACTTTCTTAAAAACAATAATCTACCGATTTGTAACTATAAAGATGTAATGTTTGATTCATCAGAGTTCAACTATTTGGTATTAAATAATCTTCCAGCCGCAATCAGTTGTGTTTTGAAGTACTTTCTATTTTAGTGATAAGCAACACTACACGCAAATATTGGGGCAAAAGTCAATGATTTTTATTATTACTGTTTTTAATTGTTCAGTTTCTTTATTTAAGCTGTAAAAAAGAAAATCAATGGAATTACTTGCTCGTTTTTAGTTCCAATATACAAGCGTTTTTATTTATTAATAATTTGAGAAAATACAAAGAAAGTTGTTAATATAACTTTTCGACACTTGAAAGTAAGGCAACTCTTATTTAATTTTAATTTGATAAAAAAAATGTAATTGTTAGTTTGCAAGCCTTACAATTGAAGTGGGCACTTATACATGGTGTTGAGTCGATTGATATCGGTCTCACTCATTTGTAAACGCTGACCCATTAACCCCTGTCCCTTTGGATCCAAAGCCACAATTGTAGCCTCACCGTTGATCGAAAAAGCCAAGGAACTATAGTGCAAAATGCTTCCATAGTCATACGGCTGATCGAAGTCCCCCACATCATCCTCTTCGTACTTCACAAAGTTCTTTTCGTGACCCTCGGATATGTTCTCTTCCACAATCTTTACGAACTCATCGCGATTTGGGGAGCATTGCTGATGATGAAAACCCAAAGTGTGGAGCAATTCGTGCTGAATGGTTCCCAGTTTGAAGCATCCGGTGTCCAGTTCGGCAGGCTTGAGTTTGACTGTTCTTTCACCTGGCTGGTAACCCACTTTTGAGCTGCATCCCGAAGTGGAGGGAATCACAATGAGATAGTTTTCCTCGTCTTGAGCAGCTGGCACAAAACGAATGCAGGAGTAATACTCGATGAACTGCATGCCAAGCTTAATATACTCCACTTGAGGAGCATCTGTAGATAAATAAGATTTTATTAAATACATAGAATGTACTGACGATAAATAGCCATCCTACCGAACTCCTCGGAGATCCTGTAAGGAACCGTGGCGTTTGGCCAGCGACGAGTCTCGGTCAGCATTCCATTTCGGGTAAAGTCCACATCCATATCACCCTGGAAGTATCCTGCAGTCAGTTCTGGATCCGTTTCCTCATACTGATTACCAAGGGGAGCTGCTAGTATCCCCGAGCACAGAGTTCCCAACAGGAACAAGTGAATCCGCGCACCGATCATTTTCGACTGAATTAAAGCGAATTAACTGCCAATAAATTTCAAATTATCGCTAAATGTGAGGTTTATTAGTACTTGTGATTGATTAGCCTTAAGAGGTCGCGTATTATGAAGTACTGTAAAAATGTTTAAAATTCCCTCAGTTTGTGAGTGTTGCAGTACTTCCACCCGCTATTTCTGAGTTCTGGTAAAAAAAATGCTTTAGGTCCGGTTTGTAGATTGTGCAGAGCACACCAAATAATACTATTAGTACTATTACAATTTTTAAGACAAATTGTTTTTTTTTTTTAAATTTTTAAAGTGGATGCTATATATAAAAAATTTCTTATAAGATATACTTTTTTTTTAATATTTTCTTAAAGGAAGGTATTATTTTTCTCCGACTGGACAAGTTGATCGTTAGCCATGGCTCGAGGCTACTTAGCAGCCCAGCTTGCACTTCCGTTTAGTTACAGTCACAGTGGCAGGCTGAGTCGCATTCCCTTGGCCAAGATGTAATGGCTGAAAATCCACTTGTCCGCTTTCCCCAGTTTCCCTCTTGTGAATCTGCTTCCGCACTCGGTTTGTTGGCTTTAATTTATGGCCATGGCCAGACGACTCTACCACTTCCACTGCGATTGCGACTGCGACTGCGAATGAGAATGAGAATGCGACTGCAAATGCGACTTCGAGTTCGACTTCAACGGCGCCTTCTGTCAGTCACTGGGGGGCGTGGCCAGTGGTCGTCACATCCGCTGTTTGCCCGGGCTTAGATTTGTCCACCGCCCCCTCCCCCCGTTTGGACCATCTTCCCATCGAACGATCACCGCAATGGGCAACCAAAAACTTTTCCACACACATTCTCAGCTTTTGCCGCTCGGGGTTTTTCACTTTTCAGCTGCAGCCGGACCGTCGGAAATAGTTAACTTTTATGCGCATTTCAAATCGGAAAGTTTTGCATTCAAACTTTATTAAAATTACGCTCGATGCTCGTCCAATTGTGCCTGCCATCCAACTGGCGAGCGAATCCAATCCGACGGTTGGCCATCTTCATGGCCATTATCGCGGAGGTCCGCAGAGGTTCCTTTTCTTTGTTTCGATGACATTTGGAGTCCCTGGGCATTCGGGGATAGAGTTGAAGTAGGACACATTGGATAAGTTTTATCAATTCCAATTATGAAGTTGAAAAATTGAAAATACTATACTTGTATCTGGCTTATAAATATAACTATATAACTAGCCATTTTTATATAATTACAGTAAACTACAAACTTAAAGAACAATTTAAAAGTATAATTATTTAATAAATTAACAAAAAAATTGTGTTATTTTAATAACTTTCTAGTCCTTTAAGATTTAAAAAATGTGAAGAGTGGACCCTATTTCTATTCTTATTAAATGTTATATTTATTATTCTCCTGTATTTCCATAAATTCATTTGCTAAAAATATTTGTAAAAAATTACTAATAAAATATGTGACTGCAAATGTTTGTTTTGTTCCATTAAAAATTTCGTAATTATCTGGGTGCAAAAGTGCGGACTGAATTTGGAAGTGCATTCCATCTTCCTCCATGTGGAAGGGAAACTCGGGAGTTTTACCCGCTGCACATTTGCATTGTTGTTTTGACTGCTGGCGCCTTTTTGTGGCCATTCCCGTGCTCCATCCCCTCCAGACTTCCAGCACTAATGACCGACATTGCTTCCTAATTACAAAAGTTTTGCATGCACTCGCTGGTGGGCCGAATGGCTTGCCGAAAATGGCTAAAAAAAAAAAACTTTGAAGTTTATTTTATATCCTTTATTTAACGTTGAAGCGCTTTAAGTTCAGCTTTTCATTCGGTTTTTAGTGGCGCTAACAAACGACTCCATTAACCGAAGGCGGCCGCAGTACACATGTTTGGCCAACAACAAAAGGGGGTAGGCCAAAAAATACCAGAAAATATTGTGTCCTGGCCGTGGGCGAGGAGCACTTCCACTTCCACTCAGTACATTCCAGTTGCACATATGTCATGTGGCACATGCTGACCCAGGAACCGAAACTATCCCGATCCCGAAGCGGGATCCACTCTTTCTGCCCATGGGCCGCACTTAATGATAAACAATGCTTGCGGTAAGTTTAACATGCCGCGCTATTACCCTGCCACTCAGCCGCCCTTCGTCCTTCCTCCTTCGTCCTCTTGTGGCAGGACCTCTTCCCCACCACTCCTCCCGCATAACGAGTGGACAATTTACACGCTGAAAATGAACGACAGCGGACACGGGATGACGGTGGGTGGACCAATTGATACCTCATCTCTATTGGGAAACAACCTATTTACCTGATATGGATTATATCTAAAATTCAGATTTGGGAAGGTATGCTTACAGTTTGACTTGATGACTATTAGCAGTTTAATTTATTTCTAAGCATTGAACTTTCTACAATATGGTAAACATTTTTTAGAAAGACTCAGTTGCATTTTATGTAGGATTTCCATTCTCATTTTGCTCTAAATAGTTTACATCTCATAGTTTATTTATTGATTGTCTATTTACCTATTTAAAATAATAGGGATACACCAAGTGTAGTGACTTAATATAAACATTTCATAAATCATTTTAAGCTGTGTATTTAAATTTAATTGATTTATATATGTATTTAATGCACTCGACTATGATTTATTTTGAATTGTAATACAAATAATTATGGTAACTTAAGGAAAACATCCTCATTTACTATGATTCCACTTAATTTATAGAAAATTTTAAATATTTTGTAAATCAAGCTCCATCTAAGTGCAAGATTCCCCAACAGTTCTAAACCAAATATATGGTAACTAGCAAACCAAGGACAAGAAGAAGCGACAAAAACAGCATGCTTAAAAGAGCAGTAAATGAGAATTTATCCACTTGCTGACCAACGAGACGCCCAAACCCTTCTCCCGCCCCCTTGCCACACCCCCCATTCCGCAGACAGAGAGACAAAAAGGAGGAGGAGGAGATATAGAAGGGGGGATGTACAAGTATAACTGGCCGACACACGCACATCGTAAAGTTTTAATCGGATGTTGTCCAGCTTTACATGACGCCATCTACTGGCTTAGAGTGCAATATCCTGTGGCACGCGATAACATCGAGCAAAAGAGTTGGGTGGCAGAAAACGGCAGAAACGGCGGACAAAGGATGGCGAAGGGATTCGCCAAAGGGGGCGTGGTGAAAGAGGAGGGAGGGGCGTGATGTGCGCCGCCACCCTTGTTTATGCGAAACGCTCTTGGCCCTTTGCTTTTTGACGGCATTTGGCACTGCCACTGCCACGCACAACAACTACAAGGATTCACCAGGATGCCCGCCGCCGACTGCCAGTGCCCAGCAATTCCATCTATGGGCTACAAAGCCGGCACAGTTTCGGGCACTGCTACAGCTACAGATACAGCTACAGATACAGATGCCAAGGCTAAAGGCAAAGCAAGTGAAACAGCCGCTACAAAGGCTTAAAAAGCGTAAAACACGAAAAAAGCGAGCGGAACATGGAACGTGGAGTGGGAGAAAGGGAGATTCTTTGTAAGCCGAATTAGTGTGGCTCTACAATCCCCAAAAGCTTCGCTGCACGAAAATGTATTAGCTACCAACTAAAAAAAACATTAAAATACAACAAAAAATAAAATAATATTAACATGAAGAAGGATGTCAATTTTTTCTGTACATAAAACGATTAAAACTGATTTTATTTCAAAGGGAATTTTCTTTTCTTGCCGTTTTGTGATGTTTTTGACGGATATTAAAAAAAAAAAATAAAACAGTAAATAATAAACAAATTTAATTTAACACCTTTATTTTCTCTTGGGGCTTCAAATTTTAAGATTTAATTTTTATAAGTAATTTAATTTTATAAAATTTTATTTTAACCTATGGTTCTGACAATTTTGGCCTTTGGTCAAGACAATGAAGAAAGGTAATTTAAATTTATAAGGAATTTCCCCGATGACTTTTATGATGCATGACTCTCACCTTAGCCTATTCGAAAACTTTGACTTTAAGTCATCTGGGTGGCGAAGCTCATAAACAATACATTGTATCCTTGCCGGCAAAGTGCATACAAAATGGCAGTGAAATGTGTGGCGCTCGTTGTTTTCTAGGCTTCGGTCAACCGCTTGGCTAGACGCACACTTGGCTGGATGGGCAGGATGTCCAGGACTGGCCACGAAAGCGGACCGAACCCACCGAACCACCAAGCCAACGAACCTCGTTGTCATTGTCGTGACAGGAAATTAAGATGAATGTGGCGAGCAAACTGTAGTTTCTATGCCGGAGTTGCAACTCCTCGCTGCTCGGTTTCCCTTCAGATTTCGCCCACTGTTTTGGCCCTGTTGCCTTATTGTCGTTGTTTTTTCTATTCGGTTAGACAAGGGAGAGACAGACGGCTGCCTCTTAAAATATTCATAACACAAACTGTTGCCACTATCTCGAGTGCGGACCGCAGCGGATGCCGGCGGACCGGGACAAATGGCATTGCTGGGAGTAATCCGGGAAAGCTGAAAAGCTGGAAAAGCGGGCGAAAGTTGCGCGTTTGAATTAATTGATTTTTATGAATTTGTTAAGTGAGTTTTTCATGCCCCAGAACCATAATGGGGGAGTTCATGACTAAAAAAACGTTGACTTTGAGAGAGTGCAAAAATATGTTATACATTAACAACGATTTAAACGACAGAATACTAACGTGGGTAAGTAGTTATTAGTGCGGAAATTTATTTTCATTTGGATTTGGATTTGGATTTTATTTCTTTTTTTGTCCCTTTGAAATACGAAGTCAATGTTTGTTCAAAAAACATAAACAATAACTGGTAATCAATGTTAAATGCCAATTAAAGGTGGCTAAATAAATAATAATAAAGATTTGATTTTTATGAGTATGAAATGAAAAAGAATCCATATTTTTTTTGTTAACATAAGTACTTATAAAATCCATTCAAATAAAAATGAAATATTGATATCGCTTTTTGCTGTATAGGGATTATCAGTAAAGCGATTAAAAAATTCATTGTTAAATAATTCTGAATAGGAAAGTTTTTAAATACCCAAGTTTTTGAATGATTTTCTACATTGTTCTGCAATGTTTACCCCTGTTTACAATATTACCTACGTTTAAAAACCCCCAATTAGGGCCGATTCCCCCGTCGTGGTCCTGGAAAAGTTGTCTAAATTATTCGACTACAAGCCATTACATCGTAAATGAGGCAATATTAATGTGAAACTTTCAAATGTTTCCGTTTGGCTTGGAACTGGAGGATAATAACTTAATTGAGCCATTGCACGCATGGGAGAGTTCATTTAAAAGTTGAGAAACTGTCATCGCCTGTGCTCCCGACTAATCCCTGCTGCATATATAAGTCGGAGGAGAGCCGACATTATTCAACAGTCTTGGCTCTATTATGGTTCGTTACGTGCCCCGTTTGGCAGATGGTCAGAAAGTGAAGTTGGCCTGGCCGCTGGCTCTGTTCCGATTGAATCATATATTTTGGCCCTTGGATCCGAGTACGGGAAAGTGGGCACGGTATCTGGATAAATTTCTAGCCGTCCTGGGCTGCTTGATTTTTATGCAGCACAACGACGCGGAATTGAGATATCTGCGCATTGAAGCAAGGAATCGGAATTTGGACGACTTTCTCACTGGAATGCCAACATATTTGATCTTAGTGGAAGCACAATTCCGAAGTCTGCATATTCTATTGCACTTCGAGGAGCTTCGAAAGTTCCTTCAGATATTCTACGCCAATATTTATATTGATCCACGAAGGGAACCGGAAATGTTTAAAAAGGTTGATGGACAAATGATTATAAATCGATTGGTTTCTGCAATGTATGGTGCCGTAATATCCGGTTACTTAATCGCTCCCGTATTTTCAATCATCAACCAAAGTAAGGATTTTCTGTACTCCATGATATTTCCATTTGACTCGGATCCCTTGCATATTTTTGTGCCCCTGCTTCTCAGTAATGTTTGGGTTGGCATCATCATAGATTCCATGATGTTTGGAGAGACAAGTTTGTTGTGTGAGTTGATTGTGCATCTAAATGGAAGTTATTTGCTACTCAAAAGGGACTTGGAGATGGCCATTCAAAAGATCTTGGTCGCGAGGGACCGTCCTCAAATGGCCAAACAAGTTAAGGAACAAATTATCATAACTATTAGGAAGAATGTGGCCTTAAATCAATTTGGGCAGCAGTTGGAAGCTCAGTATACTGTGAGGGTGTTTATTATGTTCGCCTTTGCTGCAGGATTATTGTGTGCCCTTTCTTTTAAGGCTTATACGGTGAGTGATTAAAAATAAATTAAATAAAACTCATCATATTAAACACTTTAATCTAATTTATAGAATCCCATGGCGAATTATATCTATGCAATTTGGTTTGGTGCCAAAACAGTTGAACTTCTTTCATTAGGACAACTTGGTTCCAATTTGGCTTTTACTGTAGGTGAAACTATATATTTATCTTACTGATATTTGTATTTTAACGTTGTTTCGAAATCAGACGGATTCCCTTAGCTCGATGTACTATTTAACCCACTGGGAGGAAATCCTACAGCACTCTACGAATCCCAGGGAAAATCTGCGATTGCTTAAACTCATAAATTTGGCCATTGCGATGAATAGCAAGCCCTTTTATGTGACGGGACTGAAATACTTTCGTGTTAGTCTGCAGGCTGGCTTGAAAGTGAGTATGAAGCGAGTTCAGAAACATTCCATTATCGCCTCTTTCACAGATTCTGCAGGCATCGTTCTCGTACTTCACATTTCTCACCTCGATGCAGAGGCGACAAATGAGCAATTAAATAATTCACATTTTTTTAATGCCGCAATGATGCCTCCTTCTGCGAGTCTAGTCCGCTGATACAAATGATTGCATATTAAAAGTCAATTATTGGTGAATTAATTTTAATTAAATTAAATTGATAAAAGGCACCGGCTCACACGCATCATTGATTTTCGCTTCCTTTGCTCGTTTTGCTTGGCTCTGTGTGTGAGAAAAATGCGTGTATGTGGAAGAGAATGTATATGTGTGTGTGCGTGTGGGTGGAGACGACTGAAAATATGCAATAAAATATTCATGATGATTCCTCTGCTGCAAAAACTTGCAAAAAGTTAATAAAACTTTTGCCACTGCTGGTGGGTAATGAAATTAGAATATCGCAAGCATACCAAAACGCACAGAGCCAGAAAAAAAGTATAAATTTTCAGCTTGCCATGTTTTGCCATCTCTGGAAATGATCAGCGGCCATTAAGCCGGGGTTGGATGGAGTCTCTGGCGTAAGCCATAAATCTTCAACTTTGGAGAAGAGTCTTCCCCCGTTGAATCCCCCCCTCTGTTCCGCCAACTATGTTTCAATTTCCTCTGGCACGAACATTTTGGTAAATTAATCCATTAAAGTTTCGCCATGAAAATGCACAAAAGTTTTCGCATAAAAAGCCCATGCATCTCGCTCACTCCGCTTCTGTCGCATTCGTGCTGTCTCTGTCTACCGCCCATAACTCCCTCATAAGAGGAAGTCGAAGTTCGACAGGCGTCGCGCTCATTGATAATTAGACCCTGTCGACGTCTCCACCGTCGTCGTCGATTTCAGGCTTCGACCCGCCCCATTAGCCAATTTGTACTTCATTAGCGCCATGTTGTTCGACTGGATTTGTGTGCTGCTGGCCTTCGCATCGCTTGCACTGCCTCGAATGACGACTAATGAGTTTTATTTACACTGGCCATTAGAGCGAAAGGGGTTTGTTTTACAGCCAGGTTAAGAATATATCTTGGAGATCTTAGAAAAGCCTAACATTTGTATCATTGATCATCCATGGTTGTTTGATTATTATATTAATAATTTACACAAGTAAGTATTTTGAAGCTCTGTTTACGGTTCTCCTCAATTGAACTTAAAGGTTCAAATTTAACTTTTTTATTATTATTTTTTTCATATTCAATTTAAACAGATTCCTTAACAGTTTCCGTAACAATATCCGTTCTTACTTGAAATACAAAAATTACCAAATTAAATATTAGGGGAGATTTACTACAAAATTTCAAACTCTGTATTTAGCTGCTAAAAACTGAATTTCTGATATCTTAATATGCATTGACTGTAAGTCGCAATAATAGCGCTTAATTAGAACCGACAGTCTGGGAGAAACGAGTGTTTGGGGGCCAAATCTCCCGTTTATGCACTCAGAATCCCTTATCGCTCCCTTTGGCTTTGCTGAACTTTTGCGCTAACCACTGAAAATTTTATATTTATGCTTGTGTTGCCAACTGAAGCCAAAGGCAAATGCACAAATATACTGAGGGGCAAAAGTAAATGCAGGAAAAGTTTTAAGCTTGTAATTATCATTAGCGATATTGTGTCTAAACTTTTCAAGGAAGCAACAGAATGCGAGTGAAGTAAGAAAGGGATTTTCCCATTTTTCCAGGGGTTCAACTTTGATTCGAAGGCCTTAAATCAATTACAACGCAGAAGTAAGGAAGCTTGTTAATTGCCAGATAAAGCAGCAAGAATTCTCGCTTTTATTCCAGTACCTGTTATGTAATACTTTCTCAACTGGCAACACGTCGTATGCTTAATTAATTTTAAATGCACTTTAAAAGTTTGCCCTCTCGAGTGGAGACCTTCTGGGGAAAATAGGTGGCAGCGAGGTATTTTTACCTTTAAGTCAACTTTCCTCTGGCCCGCGTGAAAAGTAAAAACACGACAGAGAAAGCCCCGAAGAAAGCCCATTCATGTGTGACTGCATTTGTCAGTCTCCGGCCCAGAATCAGAATCAGGCTCCGAGTCCTGGCACTCGCATTCCTTTTGGCCCAGGTCCTGTGAGTTGTGTGTGTAATTATGTCTGAGATTATGCCCACAGCCACGGCGGTGCTCCTACTACAGCTGTCTGTCTTTAATATGCCACCGCAGCCCCCTCACCCTTCGCTTTTTATTCCGCCTTATTTCTCGGCAGTGCTGGCAAGTAGGGAATTCCAAAGAGCTACAAAAATATTTCTTGTATATAATAGTAGTTAGAGTTATTTAATTGTTTTTTACCTAGTAAAAAGATATTGCAATTATTTACCTCACTACCGGGTATTTCCCAGACCATCTTTACATAACATAACATTTTTTCATTCGAATTATGAAAGTAATGGAATTTAGCTAGGATTATGTTAGTTGGGCAGGACTATATCCTTGCTCTTACCAGCCTGTCAAAAGTTTCTGCGGTCTGCCAGCTCATCTCCCCTTGGCGCCGCTGACGTGTTGGCATTTGCTTTTGCTTTTACTCGCTGGCTGCTTTAAGTAGAGGTCTTGAGATATTTTTCAGGGCTTGCCTTCGCCACGTTGTTCATATGCAGTTTCTCAGCTGTACTGCGAGAAAAATGTTGAGGTGCTATCAATTTGTATAATAACTAGATTACAACTTCAATAAGGTTGCTAATAAAAAATAGCTGCACTGGCATTAAACGATTTTTAATTAAAAAAGAATACAACATTTCTTCAATCACATTTATTTTTGTGGCATGCTCTTAGAATTCATGCAAAAGAATAACTTAAACACTTTACGAGGTGGTTGTTAGTTTGTCCAGTTTGGGAAAAATATCTGTAATGAGTACAAAACTGATTAAAATTAACCTAGAGCTAAAAGTTTCAGAGGGACAAGGACTCTTCAGCTCGAAATTTGTCCAAATTGTGGCCATTAAATACCGGCAGACTTAATTGCAGTGTACTCTGCTTAAGTATTCTCATTTCCCTTTAGTTGCCGCTGCTGCTGCTGCTGCTGGTGGGTTTTTGGCTTTTGCCTTGGCTCGTAAAGTCGCAGGAAGTTATTATCCTAAAAACTTTACCCCTGAGGGCAATACAAACAAAGGCGTAGCAGGGCAACAAAGCGCAGCATTCATGTCTGACTATGAAATGGCTATGGCTGCACTCGCCCCGCCAAGCCACCCAACCACCCAACCACCCACCAACCAACCATTCCACCCACACATGCGTCTCGTTTGCTATGCATGAAAATAGAATGTCATAAAATTAGAACGATCATAAGACGAGCGGAGGGCCAAACACAACACAAAGAGCCCGGGAAAAGAAAGCGAAAAGAAAAAGAAAGCGGAGCTCCAGCCAGCTGACTTTTTTACTGCTCTTGGCGAAAAGTTGATGGCCAGGCGTCCTAGTGGCCGCCTTAACCCATTAAATTCTCTTTATTATGCCAACAATATTTTCTCAAAATAAAAAGCAGGAAATTCCCAAGACATTATGACTTTAGAGCGTGATAATCGCGTTGAGAAACTGAGCTTGAATGAAATTTGATAAAAAAAAGTTAAAGAATGCAAATCTTATTATTGATCTTTCCTTACTTTAAGTTTTTTATGTTAACAATAATCAAAGCATAATAAACTTAAATTTAATAAGAAACCTTAAATAGAGATATGGCGAGGTAAGTTATTTAATTTGTAATCATTTGAGGTACAAATAATTTATTTCGGTTTGCCCAAGTTGTTCAAAATGTGACTACACACTTTAAATTATCTCTTGGAGTAAGTATAAATTTGAAATGCCTTGTCACTAGCAACGCGGCTAAAAAGCTGATAAAAAGACCAGCAACACCAGGGCTAAACCACCTATTCCATACTAGATGACGTTGGCCCATCTTTAGTTGCAACTAAAAAAGCGAATGCACTGCTTGCATAAATTAAATGTTTACGACTTCCGTTTTGCGGGCAGGTAGCTCTGGAGAAGCTTTGGCTTTTGCTACAATTTGTGCCATTAAAAAACCAAATATATGTATACGTGAGTCCTTGTGCGAGGGAGATAGAGAGAGAGTGCGGAGTGAACGGAGATAGTTGGTCCTGGGATTATACGAAAGGATTGCTTGGCTAGTTGGTCGTAGGTGCGGGCTGCTCGGTCGCATGGTTAGTTGCCTGGCGCGCTAATTTTTAATTACGACCACTAAATATTCAATTTTTAGTTGCCGGCAAAGGCAAACACTTCCTCTACGCTGGCCGGGGCTTTTTGTTTTCCAGATTACCCGGTCGGTGGGAAAGGTTTTTTGGGGTGGGGAAGACTCTAGTTTCCTGTCAAGTGCAACAACTCGTTAGAATTGCAAATGTTGCGATTACTTTGAGCCAGGATGTAGTCTGCCTGTGTATATAAAATTAACGCAACACGAGGGGTTTTTGTAACTTTAAGGTTGCTTTCTTGTTGCTAACAAGCTGGTCAATTGCGATACGGGAATGTAATTTGTGTTGTATGGAAAACAAAACAATATTATTATATTCAAAAAAACATGCAAAGTAATTCGAAATTATTAAAAATAACTTATATATGTTACAAAATATGTATTTTTATTTTTAGAGATTCACAACTATTTTTTACAGGGTAAATTAACAGTACATCCGCTTAAGTGCTGCCACATCCTTTGGGCTCAGTTTTCTTGCCTGGCCAATTTTCGCATTCTTCTGGTAGGGAACAATGGTTGGCTTTCCGTTCTTGGAGAACGCATAAGGACCATAGTGCATGATGCTATCGTAGTCGTAACCAATGCCAAAATCAGTCCCCTCTGAAGCCAGAAGCTTGTCAAAGTTGTGCTCATAGCCGGGTTGAATGTTTTCCGTATTGATCTTTACGTAACGATCTCTTTGCGGATCACTTTGGCTGTGAAAGAAGGCCAAGGCGTGGAGAAGTTCATGCTGAATGGTCCAACTGGACATGCAGTTGCTGCCCAGATTGAGAGGTTGATTTGTTAGACCCAAAAATCCCACATAGGACCAGCAGCCGGAACCCTGTCGTTGAATTATCACTTGTGGCTCTTTTGGGTTTGCTGTTCGGCGAAATCTCACACAGGTCTGAGATGAAATCGCAGACATTGCACCTTCAACACGAGTTTTATCCAAATTTGCTGCAATCAGAAAAATATATGACAATAAATTAATATTTTTTTAAAACCTTCTTTGCTTACAAAATCCACCAGCGAAGCTGTAAACCAAAGTTCTATCCTTCCAATAATATTCAGACCACAATTGGACAACACGGGAGGCTGGATTTCCTTCAAAAAATTTCAGCTGTTCTGGGATAAGTTTGATGTCATCCTCCAGAATATCATCCTCAGTGGAAGGACGACCATTCGCCGAAGATCCAATGGCGAGAAGCAAAGCGAGTACAAGAAAATGCATTTTGGTACTGATAAAAATTCTTACAGTGCGAGTTCTTTTTATTCGTTTCGAATGCATATACATTTATAGAAGTTTATATCAGAAGAGTTTTTTAAGATAACATGCGAAACCAGCGAACAGAACAATGTTTTGACCTAGGCTAACAATTGCCTATATTTGCTTCTTGCTTTTATTTATTTGGTGTTATCAAAAAAGTCCTCATGCTGCAAGCAGTAAAATATTATGTAATCCTTTGAAAAAAAAAAAACAAAATAAATTATAAATGATCAATTATTAAAATCATTGAAATGAAAAATATTTAATTTCCAGCAAATTAAAAACTTATTTATTTTTTTTTTTACCATGCCAAAAATATGCTAACAACAAAAACTTTTGTTTAACAATTCACTACAGATAAGAAATAACAGTTTGCCACCGATTTTTCAGACTGACCCATTGATTAGGTTCAAGTTGACATCGGTACCTACTAATTTAGATAACATAAATTATAAAGATTAAGTGTAATAGCGGACTTATAGAACGCTCGTGTGCTTAATTGTCCAGACAGTATTAACTAAAGCGTTAAGCAACCAACATGAACTATTATAGTGCGTTACCTCTGGTTTTGGTCCTGATCAGCGGCGCTTTTGCAGCCCCAGCTGAGCGGATTGAAACCGATCCGGAGCTGACAGCTGGTTATATTGAGGGTGACATGGTTCCCAGTGGATCTTTAAGAAATATTTGGCGCAATGAGACATATCGCTGGCCCAACCGCGTTGTTTACTATCACATCAATAGTTATATTGGTAAGTTCTCTTTAGTTCTGCCATAATTGTTCAAAATATTATTTTATATTAATTTATTTTCTATCTCTACAGACGTCGAGCACAGAAACCATATTGTTAGCGCAATTCACGAGCTCGAATCAATTTCATGTCTGACCTTTAAGGAAGCCACCACCGATCAAGAGTATTATGTAAATGTGACCTCCGAGGATGGCGGTTGTTTCTCCTATATTGGTTACCTAAATCGTGTTCAGCAACTCAACCTGCAGAATAATGAAATAGGAGTTGGTTGCTTCCGACTCTACACTATTGTTCATGAATTTTTGCATGCCCTTGGCTTTTTCCATCAGCAGAGTGCCGCCGACCGGGATGAATATGTCCAAATTGTGGAGGAGAACATCACCGAAGGCATGGAGTTCAATTTTGATAAATACACCGAGGAAACAGTTAACGATTTTGGAGAGAAATACGACTATGGTAGTGTTATGCATTATGGTCCTTATGCGTTTTCCAAGAATGGAGAGAGGACAATCGTGGCTTTGGAGGAGGGACAGGAAGATGTTATCGGCCAACGACTACAGCTGAGTGAAACTGATATCAAAAAGCTAAACGCCATGTACAAATGCCCCACTGTTTAGTAATAAACATTTTTTATCGCACCTTCATTCACAAATTTCAACCGGCTTTTGCAACATAATGAAGATAAATTTCGTTAAGCTATTGTCATCTTTTCTCGCGAAAAATGTAATCTGTTTATTGTGTTGACACATGCAATTAGGCAATGGTTCGTCGTTGTCATATGCTTTCAGATGAATTTTGGCAGTGGATTTCCTTATTTCGGGGGTGTTGCAAAATAAAGTGACGCAATGGGAGAGGAAATGGTTGGGCATTGTTATTTTTGGATAAAAAGTAAAGGTGAAAGACTTTTTGGGGAGAACGATGACGCAAGAATAAATCGAAATTAATGAAGATAAAGTAAATGTGTTTTATTCAGTGCTACTTAAGATTAAAATTGAATATTGTAATTTTTACAAAGGCCCGAAACAATTGCAAATCATTTTTGCTTTATTATAAAATAACTTTCGATCTAATCACAGTTGCCGCGGGAAAACCTGGAATGCTAGTTGAAACTACCTTGAAATAAGATTACGTATATGATGCAGGCAAACCCAAACCGATTAGATAGCATCTTAGTGGCGACCGTTGGTCAATTTAGCTGGCCATAAAGGCTTAACGCCGGCAAATACCATAAATTATCCAATGGCCAGGTAGACCGCTTTGTCACTTTATAATTGGCGATCTAAACAGTTAGCTGCCGAGCGTGGATCGATCAACATGAGGACCTGGGCCTTGATTTTAGCAGTTATTTTCCTGGTCAACTCCTGCTTGGCTGCTCCTGCCAATCAGCAGAGGATTGAAACGGATCCGGAGCTGACAGCTGGCTATTTCGAGGGAGATATAGTGCTCGATCCACAAGGAAGGAATGGACTTATCAACGAAGTGTACAGATGGCCCGATCGCACGGTGTATTACTACATTAGCCCAGACATAGGTAATTTTTTTTATTTTTTTTTATAAATTTGAACATAACCGAGCGATTTAATTGTTATCTATTGAAATCTTTCACATCTGAACAATTTGTATAAATTTATTTTTATTTTATTTTACTTCTTTTTTAGACACCGAGCACCGCAATCACATTATTCGCGCTATTCGCATCATCGAGCGAAGTTCTTGCATTGTTTTCAAAGAGGCCACCACCGATCAGCAATACTTTGTCAATGTCACGGGATTCCCGGAAGGTTGTTACTCATCCGTGGGCTTCCGTAATCGGTCCCAACAGTTGAACCTGCAGACTTATGCTCTGGACTCTGGTTGTTACCGCCTGGGATCCATTGTCCACGAGTTTCTCCACGCATTAGGCTTCTATCACCAGCAGAGCACGTGGGATCGGGATGAGTACGTCACAATCGCCGAGGAGAACATCACAGAGGGAATGGAGCACAACTTCAACAAGTACGACAACGAAACTGTGGAGGACTACGGCGAACCCTATGACTACTCCAGCGTGATGCACTACACGGCGTATGCGTTCTCCAAGAACGGAGAGATGACTATTGTGCCCCTGCAGGAAGGAGCCGAAGAACTAATGGGTCAGCGATTGCAACTCACCCAGTCTGATATTAACAAACTGAATGTCATGTACAAGTGCCCGAAGCAAGTGTAAAATGGCACAAATTTCATAAATATTTTATAATTTCGGGTAATAAATTGAAATACAAAAAGTATGCAAAAGCATTGGTTTTGTTGTGATAACTATATATATAGAGAAAAAAAAAACAGGAAAAACAGGATGAAAATATTATAAAAGGATAGAAAAAAGGACAAAAAGTTTGTTTACAGTAATTTAATTTTTTATTATTAAGATAATAGTTTTAAGTCATCTTCGATTATTTTTCCTTCGTCATTATTGCTGTCCTTACTTTTAGGCAAGTTATAATTTAACAACATAATTTATGGCGACGCAATCCGAATCTGAAGAAAGAATACATCTACATGAATTAATAGCTATCGCAGCTATCGAAAAGTTTCTGAAGATTTGACCGGCTCGAAACTAATTTTACTTTGTTTCACTAAACTTGATGTATTTTGCACATGTTTTTTGTCGTCATGTGCGCTCTTATTTGGTCAATTTTACAGTAAATATTGCATTTGCAGTATTTGCAATAAGCCTTGTTAATATCCGAACTATGTATATCGGCTAATCTAGTCTTTAAAATCGGGCTGCAGTAGCCAGACATCCCGAAACTTTTGCTTATACATTTCTTTTGGCATTTTGAATTTATAAATACAAATATTGAAATTTCGCGATCAGTGCCGAAAGAGAGAGTGCAAGTAAACCGTAAAAGAGTTGTTTTTCGATGAATTCTGTCGTTATAAGTATGTCGATATAAGTATGCAGACGAAAAGTTGCCACCTGTTTCATATTTTACAGCTGATAATAAATTTAAATTGGAGCGCGAAAGCAACTATTTAAGAAAAAAAATAATTAATATTAGATTTTAAAAAAGGACAGATGACCGGATAAAAACAGGACAGATCTGTGCGGAAAAAGGTCAAATTGGCATCACTGCACCTCATGTTAAGTTCCATACACCATAATTATTTAAAATGCACCTTCATAAAATAATTTTTAATTTATTATTTATTTATAAAGTATAGGCCAACGCAGTTACTGGATCCTTAGGTTATATTTTTTAACTGTTGCTTTTAGATGTGGCCCAAAGGTTAAGCGCTTGTCCAATGCAATTCCAAGATATTTGGCATGCAACGGCTTCTTTAGAGGGACTTCCTCTACCTGGATTTCGGGGGTGTTCATTATTAGCCTCTTCAGAGTGAAGCAACGGTTCGTTGTTTTCAAGGGATTGATTTTCATGTTCCACTGTTTAAGAATGTTAAAAATTTTTTATACTATTTCAAGATTCTCAGCGACATATGGAATTATAGGTGACTGCCATGTCATCTGCATAGTACTTATTGCTTTGGAAGGAGCTACCAGATAATGACTCACGTCCATCAAGGTGTGATCTTAAAAGTCCATAGTATGGCCATCATGCCACACCTTATCGAAAGCTGGCTGCATGTCTATAAAGTCTGCGTTGACTGTATGACTACCCCAGCGTGATGCACTACAAGACAAAAGCAACAAACTGAATTTAATGTACAAGTGCCCGATTCAAGTGTAAAATGCCACAAAACTCATAAATATGGTAAATTGTTCTTAGAGAATAAATCCGAATTTCGGTTAATAAATTGAACCCTAAAAGTATGCAAAAGCTTTGGTTTTGTATTGATAGCTACACCTTGAAGTATGCAGGAGTTTTGGATTTGGTTTTATAAAATCAAAATTTTCACGGTTTTCAAAAATATTCAGCATACCTCATGGTAATACGCCAAACGCCATATACATTTAATAATTTAAATAAATCTTACATTTTTAAAGATTTATTTTAATAAAAGCAAAGAAGTCCTAAGATAATATATAATATTTATTCGAAAATTATCAGAGTATGTGTCTCTAACTTTGACCTTAAACTCACGTCCATCAAGGTGTGATCTTAAAAGTCCATAGTATGGCCATTATGCCACACCTTATCGAAAGCATGCTACATGTCTAAAAAATCTTACTACATTAGCCCAGACATAGGTAACTTTTCTCGTCAGATTCAATTGATTTTCTATTGAAATATTCCAAATCTGAATATTTAATTTTTAAAATTTTAAATTTATTTTATTTCCTTTTTAGACACCAAGCACCGCAATCACATTATTCGCGCTATTCGCATCATCGAGCGAAGTTCTTGCATTGTTTTCAAAGAGGCCACCACCGATCAGCAATACTTTGTCAATGTCACGGGATTCCCGGGCGGTTGTTACCATGGAGGCATGGGCTTCCGTAATCGGTCGCAACCGTTGAACCTGCAGACTTTTGCTCTGAATAATGGATGCTACCGGCTGGGAACAATTGTCCACGAGTTTCTTCACGCATTGGGCTTCTATCACCAGCACAGCACGTGGGATCGGGATGAGTACGTCGCTATCGCCGAGGAGAACATCACGGAGGGAAGGGAGAATGCCTTCAGAAAGTTCAATAACAAAACTGTGGAGAACTACGGCGAACCCTATGACTACTCCAGTGTGATGCACTACAAGGCAAATGCATTCTCGAAGAACGGAGAGATGACCATTGTGCCCTTGCAGGAAGGAGCCGAAAAACTAATGGGTCAGCGATTGCAACTCACCCAGTCTGATATTAACAAACTGAATGTCATGTACAAGTGCCCGATTCAAGGGTAAAATGCCACAATACTCATAAATATGGTAAATTGTTCTTAGAGATTATTTAATATTCTATTAATTTAATAAATTGAACCCCAAAAGTATGCAAAAGCTTTGGTTTTGTTTGATAGTATGCAGGAGTTTTGGATTATGTTTCATAAAATCGAAATTCTCGTCGTTTTTAAAACATTTCAGCATTCTTCACGGTAAGTTTCATACGCCATAGATATTTAAAAATCACCTTCAGAAAAAATTTAAATAAATCTTACATTTTTTAAGATTTATTTCATTTAAATCCACGAAGCCCTAAAATAAGGTTCGTATTGTATTGTATTAAAAGTACCCACCTTTTAGCATTAGTCATGCTATATTAAGTCAGGCATGGAATGAGTATAAAATTATGACTTTTACTTTCGTTCAGTTCAATTTGCTTTTTGCACTTACAATGTTTAAACTGATTGTGGCTCTAATTTCGTTACTCGCCAAGGAAGTTTCAAGCGTCCTTTTGCAGGATCCGGAACTCATTGGAGGCTATTTCCAAGGTGACATCGTAGAGCCAATTCGTTCCCGTAACGGAATTGCTAACCCGCAGCGTAACTGGCCAAATGGCGTGGTTTACTACCATATTGAGGAAAATGCATTTGGTACGTATGCAGTCTGAATGAAAAGAACAGTGACGTTATATAAAATTCAAAGGCGTCAGGCATTATGCGGAAATTCTACGGGCTTTTTCTATTATTGAGGAAAACTCGTGTGTTTTTTTCAAGAAGTCCACCGAAGAAGAGCGCAAAAAGTCAATCCTCATTACATCGAAAGCCGTCGGATGCCATGCCATCTTTGTGGGCTTTCGCAATAATTCCTATGTGGTGAACCTTGGGCATTATCCTCTTGGCTTTGGATGCTTTCGCATCGGCTCCATACTTCACGAGTTGCTCCACGCCCTCGGATTCGAACATCAGCATGTGGCCCAAGACAGAGACGAGTACATCAGCATTCAATGGGAGAACATTATACCCGAGTTCAAAATTAATTTCATTAATAATGACACTACCACCAAGTGGCATAGTTTTGGCGAGTCCTACGACTATGATAGTGTAATGCACTATGTTCCCACAGCGTTTTCAAAAAATGGTAAGCCTACGATTGTGGCACTCAAGGATGGAGCCTCAAACATGGGGCAGCGATGGGGAATGAGTGCAAAGGACATTCGAAAGCTTAACAAAATGTACAAGTGTCCCGGCTATGTTTAGGATTTTATTTCAAATGCAGATTTTATAACCAAAAAAATCTTAGTTAATTAAAAACTTATAAAGATGAATTTGTTTTTGAATACAAAGCTTTCGCATCAAACAATGTGAAATATAATATTACACCAAATATGTTTCCGAATTTCAATTCAAAATATCAGTTTGGTACATTTATTTCGTTTTTACCTCAGTGTAGAATTTGGTACTTTTAAAACATGATAGCTTTTAATTCTCCTATATCGCCTCTCTCCTTAGTAAACTTCTTACCACGAAAACTAAAATGTTTAACGCCTTGAAAACCCTATCTCGTAGTGTTGGATTGGAGAACCAAGCCATGTGAAGCGATAAGGGCAAATTCAAACACCTAATAGACAACCAAACGAACACTTGTATTTTTCGAAGCGATTACGCGTGTCTTGATTGCTAGGCAATAATCAGTTATCAATTGACAGTTTTGGAGGAATTACTCATTTTTAGGAAGCAAAGGTTTTAATTTGATATTTGTGGGTCGGTACTTCAGAATTTAATCACTGCGGCACTTGATTTTCGGGTTTCTACATTTAAATCACTATCAGTCACGATTAATTGCGGCAATCCAAGAGACAAATTGTGACGTATGTCAGAGATATTTATCGTAAACTTACATGACTAATGGAAGGTTTCCACCCGGGCGCCTCATTGAAGGGTGACATGCTATAAACCTTGATCCCATTGGACGTTCCGATTGTCATTATCAATTTGCGAAATAGGTTTTTGCCCGTTTGTATCTAATCTGAGTTGTATGGCCAGCCTTCGTGCGTGTGTTTTATATTTAGGTTGCCATGCTCCCTGTCCAGTTTGTTAGTCTAGTTCGAGGAACCCACCTGGCAAGATGTCGCGACTCGGAATAGTATATCTTCTGGTGCTGCAAGTGGTGCTCAATAGTGGCAAACCCCTGCCAGCTGGAGTCTACGATCCGGAGGAGGCAGCTGGCTTCGTGGAGGGAGATATGATGCTCACGGAGGAGCAGCAAAGTAATCTGGAGCACGGACCCAAGGCCAGAAATGGCCTCATCAACACGGAGAGGCGATGGCCAAACAACGTTGTGGTCTACAGGATATCAGATGACTTCGATGCGGCGCACAAAAGAGCCATCCAAAATGGCATCGATACCTTGGAGCAGAACACCTGTCTGCAGTTCAGGGAGGCCACCGACGAGGATACCGCCTACTTGACAATTACGGCCAACTCGGGTGGCTGCTACACAGCAGTGGGTTACCAGGGAAAGCCCCAGGAAATGAATCTGGAGATTTACCCGCTGGGCGAAGGCTGCTTCCGACCGGGAACCGTCCTGCATGAGTTCATGCATGCCTTGGGATTCTATCACCAGCAGAGCTCGTCCATTCGGGATGGTTACATCAACGTGATCTACGACAACATTGTGCCCGGCAAGGAGTTTAATTTCCAGAAATATGCCGACACAGTGGTCACAGACTTTGAAGTTGGCTATGATTACGAAAGTTGTCTGCACTATCGACCCGGAGCCTTTTCCATTAATGGCGAGGATACGATAGTGCCACTGGATTCCACCGCTGAAATTGGACAGCGGGTGGGCTTAAGCTCCAAGGATATCGATAAGATCAACATTATGTACAAGTGCCCCATTCAGCTGTAGTTCTGAATCGGGCTACTGTGCACTTAGTGCCTAGTTAATTGTGATATAATATACACTTATGTATTCCTCAGTCGTCGACTGACGTGATTAGATCGGTTTTATTGATCTACGCTGTCATTGTCATTGCGGTCTGAACTATTTATAAAACAAGCGTAAATTAAAGCCATACACCTTTATGACATTGTCTCCGATAATTTCTTATCGGGGGAGCACCAAATTCAGGCGGGGCAGGAACTATCAGTTGGCAAATTCAGAAGCCTGAACCGCAGTTCGTGTGCCCATGTGTCGAGGTCTAGTAATTGCGTGCTGCTAATGCGATTTATATGCGAGATGCAAATGTCTGGGGAGCATCTGGGCCTGGGGAACGAAAGCCAGTACGAATGACCTGGGAGTGCCAGGACCTCCGAGCAGGCACTCAATTCTCACATTTTGACAGCGCTTGTTAGACCATAAATTCGATTCCCGTTCGTTTCGACGACACGGTTTGCCCTCAGCCGTGCAATTCCCTACCCCGAGCCTCCTGCAAATGTCTTCCTTTGCGCATTGTTTCATCCGAAATTAAGAAAGGACCTCAGCAGCGGTGTGCGAGCATGTTTGGGTAAAATTACCATACACCAAGGAGCAGCTACAAATATTCCGAACAAATTTTACATGGCAAAATTAAATTGGAAAAGGCACAAGATGGCTGATCGATGCAGTTTTAGGCAGATGGTGTCTGTTTAGTTAGAAAATGGTAACATAGGGGTTTTCCCAAGAAATTAAATAGAAATGGGTATATATATGTTAGTGCCATAAAAAAATAAAATCATCAAATATTAATTACCTTTTGCCAATCTCTGCTTGTAGAATATTTTAATTAGTTCTTAACAGATTATGTCGAAACAAAGTGTGAGCTAATGCAAATTATCAAATATTGGTCATAAATAAGGGTGATTTCAGTTTCAATTGTCGATTAGAAGTCCTTAAGATTGTTTGAGATTATCAAAAGATTAAAAACCTAATTAAAAGCTTGTGGGAAAGTATTTCAATGAGGTTATAAAAAAAAGCAGTAACAATAATACCAATGTTATGAATTACATTTTTGAAGCCATTCAGGAAATTAACTTTTTTATTTACTTTAGCTTGACGATGAGCAATCACCCAAGTTGAAAACCCGCTGCTATATTATATCTTATCAGTTAATTTTAGTTGTTCCTGTCAGTATTATCAGAAGTAAGAGCCAATAATAAAAATATTTACAGGTTGTAATTGGTTTGATTAAAGTCTTTACTGAAAGTTAAATACAAATCAGAGTTATCAGCTTGTTTCTTTATGATCAACGGCGATAAATCTTTAATTTGTTAAATTATTTATTTAACTTTTTTAATAAAAAATTGTTTGGTATGGATAGTTAGATAGGTACTCATTAAACCAATCATTGACAATATTTTTAGGAAGTCCCCATTAATGAAAATGTATGGTACATTTAATAGGGAATAACCAGCTATTAAACTGACTCATTGACGCTAACAAATTTCACAAGATCCGTAAACTGACTTTACCTGACATTCCCCGCAAAAGTATACCTCGTTTTAATGGCCACCAAGTGTCTGCTAATTGCGCTCAGCCAAAAAGTAAGCCATGCCAGCTGCGAACCATAAATTAGGCAGCCTTTCTATTGCATTCAATATGCAAATCAGCTGCAAACAATTCCAATTCCGCTGGCTCTTCGGGGGATCCGCGTTTGCCAATAATAACTCATGGGGAAAAGTGTGCGTCCACAAACAGAAGCGGAAGCCAAAACGCAAAAACCGAAGCCACATGAAATATGAAACGAAGTGTAGCAATTTCCCCAAAGGCGCAAAAGCGCATATGTGACTGAATGCGAAACAGAGAAACAGATCCTGGCTTCGAGATGGGCTCCTTAACTCCAGGAGCCGCGTGTCCTCTGGCCCCTGCGATTTATTGCTGACGAATGCGTATTCAATTTTAAAGCGAGCGCCGAAATGATTTATACATTTAATTTTATATTTCTCGCCCATCCGCTTAGCGGAAATGTAAAATCACTTGCAAGGACTTGCATCCCTATTTTCTTCTTCCCCGTCGTTCTTTTACGATCCATGTTTTGGGCACAATTTCTCATCGTTCATATTTATGACTATGACGTCGTAAAAAATTATGCTTTAATTTGATTATGGTGCTGCAAAGTGTGTGTGGTAGACGTGGCGTATGCGCAATGTGACTGGCCATAAATTCCCTAAAGGTTATTGGGTCAACGCATGGACGAATCTTATTTGCAATTCAGTTTTGGGAGTATTTTAGCACTAAGCCTTTCAAAGATGACTTGCCTTTCAGAAGATTTAAAGAAAATATTCTGAAATATATTTTTAAATTAGCTCTAAACACAAATGTATTCCTTGAAATAAAAAAAAGTATTGATTAAGGTTCATTATATGGATTAGATTTATTCAATATATGCGGGGCATTAATACATTTTACACAGAATCAAAGTTATCCTCTTTCTAAATTAAATCAAATTTAAGCTAGGGGCTTTTCTATTTATAAAGCGAGGTGGAACCGTAACAAATCAATTTGCATTGAGTAATATCCAACCAATGCTATTATCGTTTGCCATTAACAGGCCCATTATCCATTCCGAAAAACCTTATCGGGACAAACGATTTCGGTAAGCTACTTAACTGTAACTCAATCAAATAGCGAACTAATTAATTTGCATTTGCATTTCTTTGGCATCCTTTAAAGCTCACACACACACATACATACAGATGCGGTTCCATTTGCCAGGACCCACCCACAGATGTATACATTTAAAATGGTTATTTTGGCATGGCCGCCTTTTGTGTGAACATTAAAATCTTAATTTGAATATGTAACCGCTTGTCTATGCCACTTTTAATCCCTGTTTGGCACACTCCCCACCTGTGTGTCCCTTTCGTCCTGTGGGCATATCCTTGCCTGTGTCTGTGTTTGTATGTGTCTATGGGTGGGTGTTAGATTGTTTCCGCACACCTGGAACTAGACTGTTTCGGGTGGTCGACGGGCGGCATCATGTTCATTTAAAAAGGTAATTTCGGTGCTGAGCTTATTATGCTCATTAAGTCATCAGGCGGCGGCCAAAACGAAATGGGCCAGGACTCCGGCTCCTGCTCCTGGTCCGGGTGAGGATCCTGCTCCCGGACCAGAACAACATTATAAAGTGCACTGCGACCGCAAAACGTGTGCACTCATTTGCTGTTGTTGCTTAGCTGAGCTACCCCTTCATGCACTGCAATATCCTTAATTTATCAAATAAATGGAAAATATATTCTGATTTTATTTTGCGAGCAACACACAATTTCTGGTAAGTTTTATACATGTTTTATAGCAATATTTTTTCCATATGTTATTTATCATTATTAAATTAATACACCCTTTGAAAGGGTTTTGGTTTTATTTTGAGTGCAGTTACTGTCGGACTGCACTTCACTTAACTCCACTTGCTCTCCCTTTATTTTTTACCAGGCACAGGACATCGAGCGTGAATTAATTTTTAATGATGTTGTGTGCGGTGCAGTGAAAACAGGTCCCTTTTTGTCCGTATCTGGGTGCGTGTGTGTGCTGTGTCCTGCCCAGGATGTAGGTCATTTCAAAAAATTGTTTGCTTTAAATTGCATTTGCGTTGGCCGTGCGATGACATGATGCACTATTCGCCATTCAGCAGCCGCCCATCAGCCACAAGTGTTTTTATATGAGTCACCGGGGGGCAGGTGGGGGTCACGACGGGTCAGGGGTGAAAGGGGAGGGGGTACAGACAGGGGTAGGCGGCACCTCAACCACCAAAGAGTGGGTGCCACGCAACCACGCACAACCATGTCACTGGTTTAGGGGTCCTGGGATGGGTAACAGATGGCGCTTGTTTAGCCATTAGCGAGAAGTACTGCTGGCAAATAGTGGTGTCGATAACAGAAAGTTTGTAAAAAATAACCCTAGAGTGCAAGTTATTTATAAAGAAATAAAGATTCGATACAAAAATATAGTGAGTTCAAAAGAAAAACTAAAACTTTATGGCTTACTATGTTATGTTAAATAAATGCATCTGTTCAAGCAAAAAAATAGTATTTATGTTATCTTGTTAAGTTCGGTTTTAAAAAAAGCATTTTCTGAAAATTATAAAGAAACTAGCCAAACATCTTAACATTTTTATCTGGCTATAAAAACACTGTTCTGACAACACTGGCAGCGGTAGTGGGTCAACTGCCTAATTAAAAAAATTACATTACGAATTGCGTTATGACACCTCATGCACGGTGCACACAATTAAATTACTCCACCCGCCGTGGTATTCGCTCTTAAAATCCACCTTCTTTATGAATATCTTAATCTGGGCACGCACTTAATTTGCTTGATCAACTCTCGTGTTTTAAATTCCTTTAGTACCGCTGGCAAAGCAATTAAGCGATTAATTCGCATTCATGCCACTCGATCTTCGCCCATATGACAGCCTGCGAATAAATCAAAAAGGGATTTTTATTGTGGCAGCCGCTGGCTATTGCCAACAGTTTGGTGTTGGCCATTTTATTGCCAGGATTCCGGCTTTGTTGCCGCCTGTCGGGTGGTCGTGTTGTCGCCCCTGTTCTTTATTTTCTCAACTTTTTGTTCTTCGGCTACTTTGCTGCTTGGTGTTGATTCAATTGCACGCACACGCACGCTCTCGGTTTATGCAAATGCAATAAATTACATTTTATTATGAAAATTTAAATGCTTCAGTCCGGTGGCGAGGTGACAATAACAAAAAGGGTAGTAAAAATCCAATTAATTGTTATTTTATTTGTTTATTGTTTTCTGATTACGGTACAGGCGAGACATCGTGTGAATGTTTTTGGGTTCAGCGCCGCTTTTGATTTATTGTGCCACATTTATTTTTATAATTTAATTAAAACATTTATGGCAGGCATTTAATATGTATAATGCTGTTATGTTTTTCGTTACACTTTATTCGGATTTCTCTTATAGATTGAGGTGAAGAATAGCATATGTACATTTATTCTTTAAAAGCTTACCACATACAATATATACATTATTTCTAGAAAACATCTAAATACTATGTTCAAAAGAAAAAATTTTTTGATTTATTTTGAATTGTGGTTGAGTAATTATCCTCTTTTTACTAAACAATACTCCTTTCACAGCCATTGGC